GACAAAATATGTTAATTAATTGAAGGTTAATGACAAGAATGTGACGGAAAAAAGTTAGAGATATAAGTGAAAAAATAAAATGAAAAGAATTGGGGACCTCGTTGTAATTAAAATGATGCAATAAATAAAAAAAAATATGGCATAAATTTAAATAACTTATTTTATAGTGGTATTATAATTATACTTATGAAACAAAATTACAACGTTTAAAAAGAAAATAAGAAAATCTATAAAATTCGGGAATACAAAGAGACTATGGAAACCCATATCTGTGTGTGCATGCCAATACCAGCAATATTTTAGCCTATAGAATTAGGTAATTTAACTTTGGTCAAAACATTTCATCACCAAACATACCAAATACATATCTAAAAGTTATATGCTAAAGCCAATTATGAATATATTATGAATATATTCCTAACTTTTCAAGAAAATTACCCTTTTTTTATTTTCCAAGAATTAAATTGACATCAAAACTTACTCTTCACAGTTGAACTAACTCCTTAAAATTCGTTCTTCCTAACTTTCTCAAAAATTTCCATTGACTCTCCTGGAAGTACCTGAACGCGGAAAACACCAGTATTTATAGACAAATTTGTTCATTGCTAAACACCAACACTAAGACAAACACTGCAATTTCGTGCAAATTTTATACTCTTGAAGAGGTCGAGGAATCTGTTAATCCAATTTCAGATTGTTAGTAATTTTCTGACCATTTTTTTTCATTTGCAATTGTTTGTTTTCGATTTTACTAAGTTTCAGTGTTTTACAATAATCATGTCTAAAAATTTTCAAGAAAACTTGCATTGCACGGATCTTGTTTTCAATCCAAACGGCCTTGTTATTAGCTTGCTGATTAAAAGGCGATGGCATTTAGCCTTCGCGAAAATCAATTGTTCAAGAGCCTTCCTTTCTCTCTTCACTGAAGTTCTTGCAAAACACAAGAAGATTTCTATCTTGACATCGTCTGCTAGTTTTCGCATTAGTATTGATCAACCACGCGAAGATACGGGTTTTTTATCCGGTGTTAATCAGATAATCCTCTCTAAGGTTGTCAAGGAGAAAAATCTCAAAGAGCTTTTAAAACTTGGAGGAGCTAAAGGTATAGCTGTTTCTCTCAAAACTGATGTGAATCGTGGAATTGATGGAGCAGTTGACATTTTTGGCAGACAGGAGGAGT